GTTAGGTACAGGTACAGTGTTAGGTACAGGTACAATGTTAGGTACAGGTACAGTGTTAGGTACAGGTACAGTGTTAGGTACAGGTAGGTACAGGTACAGTGTTAGGTACAGGTACAGTGTTAGGTACAGGTACAGTGTTAGGTACAGGTACAGTGTTAGGTACAGGTACAGTGTTAGGTACAGGTACAGTGTTAGGTACAGGTACAGTGTTAGGTACAGGTACAGTGTTAGGTACAGGTACAGTGTTAGGTACAGGTACAGTGTTAGGTACAGGTACAGTGTTAGGTACAGGTACAGTGTTAGGTACAGGTACAGTGTTAGGTACAGGTACAGTGTTAGGTACAGGTACAGGTACAGTGTTAGGTACAGGTACAGGTACAGTGTTAGGTATAGGTACAGTGTTAGGTACAGGTACAGGTACAGTGTTAGGTATAGGTACAGGTACAGTGTTAGGTGCAGGTACAGTAAAGGAAAAATTAGCCATATGGAATCAGTGAGACATTACTGTAGTGTGTGTGTGTGTGTGTGTCAGTTCTCCATGACTGTATTAACTTGCACACCGCGGACTGGTTCATTGATTATAATCATCAGCTGAGAGAGAGGAACTGTTGTCCATCCGTCATCACTGAGGGGCGCGGTGTCTCATGGAGGGGCTAGTTCATTGTGCACCGATGTAAAAGGTAACCCCCCCAAAAAAAAAAAATTGGTTCCTCGTGACCCCTGGAGTGACCTTTTACCCTCTGTGACCCCGAACATGACCTCCCCCACCCGACTCCTTGAAAGGTTGTACCCCTTGCGTGAACGAGCGACGCCCTGAAGGAGAGTCGTCGGATTGCATAGCTACACGCAGACCTCCTTACTACCATCAACAAACTACAGCAAACTATGGCGACTTTTACCTCCACTCACTCCCTTCTATGAGTTGCCTTGTACCTACCTTCCTTAACTACCTACCCACCAAAGCACCATCTTCAGGTCTGAGGGTCGGCAACCACATCCCTCCACTCTTAAACGTGTTCGAGACTCAGCATTACTAATCGTCGAAGAACTATTTACATACCTCAGGCGACCACAACTTTGAATGTCATTGGCCCATCCTTGACTCGGCCCTCCTCCCCTACCCCCCTACCCCTCCCCCTATACCCCTCCTATCCCTACCCCCTACCCCTTCCCTCCCCCACATACCCCTACTCCCTACCCCCCCTCCACAACTTCCCCCACCAATATAACTCATTCCCCATATAACTAACCCCTATAACTACCTTAATTACCTTATTACTATAGCTGTTAACATTTCTCTATACATATTACAATAACAATGAATGACTTAGAGTATACCTGTGTGGTTTATTAGCCCCAGCGATGATGTAGTGGGATATATTAGCTGTGTTTGTCAGTGTCAGTGTTACATTCGGAGGCTAACTCGTTTACAGCTCTCAATGTGTTACTGGAAATATGTATGTATGTATGTATGTATGTATGTATGTATGTTAATTAAGCCTGCAGGAGGGGGGGGAGGGGAGGTTAGTTAAAACGTCGCTCTAATTTGCATAGTATTTCCATAATAGGGGGGAGGTCATTCTTTCTTCACTCACGTATTAGTAAGACTTTAAACTTGAAGGTAATCTCTTTAATAAACCTTTATAATTAATCTTGCGATGAGTCTTAATGGCGGTGTTGTTTTAACCCTTCAAGACTCGATGGTTTAAGCTAATCCAAAGGTAATTAACATGCGCACAGGTGAGTTAGTCAGGTGTATTAACAATCAATAACTCAAGATGCTTTTAGTAACGCTCGTCGCGACTTCCTAGAGAGACATATATGGTAACAGGTCATATGGGTCCCTGTACTGATAGGTCCTATAGTCATACTGGGCCCCAAACAACTCCATTTGTATTGAGATCCATTAAGATTGGATATCCTTAGAATTGGGATCCTATCGAATTGACGCCCTGTAGGATTGAGCCCAAATAGGATTGAAACTCCATAGGATTGTCTCAGTATTAATAGTGATCAAGTTAGGTTGGGGTCTTGTAGGATTGGATTCTCTTAAGTCCAGGCCCCAATCACAGTGGTTAGGTTTGGTTAGTTTAGGTCAGGTCAGGTCAGGTCATATCAGGATTGGTTAGGTCAGGTCAGGTCATGTCAGGATTGGTTAGGTCAGGTCAGGTCAAGTCAGGTCATATCAGGATTGGTTAGGTCAGGTCAGGTTAGGTTAGGTTAGGATGTAGACTGCCTGGGGCCTGTTAAGAATGGGGCCCATTTTTCCTACCAATCACCGACATATATCAATGACCTACAACAATGAACATAGCTTGACTATATAATGCCCCGAGTATAATAAATCATGACTTATTAGCATACAATGACGTGTAGCACTGCTTGTTTCGCCAGCCTTCAGAATGGACTGTGGGTTGGACTTGGCACTCATCTTCAAGTCCAAAAAAGTCCAACTCTCCTTGTTTAGTTACATACAACGTCCCTTATCCTTTGTGTGGGGTCAGAGGACTTGCTTATTGCTATCAAGTCCAATTTTCCTTTCTTTGTAGGTGTCTCGGACTTAAGCCTAACCTGATGGACTTGGTCACCACTATACCAAGTCCCTCTACACAGGGTCCTTAAGTCCCTCTACACAGGTCCTTAAGTCCCTCTACACAGGTCCTTAAGTCCCTCTACACAGGGTCCTTAAGTCCCTCTACACAGGTCCTTAAGTCCCAAATTGGGTGATCGTCCGGAGCATCAATGTGAGGTAGAGGGGTACTTGACTTAGCCTTGGGTCACCACTTTGTCACAGTCATCCCACTACACATCAGCAGGCAGGCAGGTAGGCAGGTAAACAAGCAGGAAAGCAGGCAGGTAGGTAGGCAGGCAGGTAAGCAGGCAAGCAGGCGTATAGCAGATATATGTTACAAAATAGCTCCGTAAAAGTCTCATTCAGCGACGTATTTGGGCAGATGATCGACACCCTTGTCCCTTCGGTACCTCCCCCCTCCCCTATCGGTG